AATCAAACCCTAGATTATTTTCTTCAAAAATTTTTGCACGAATCGTCATCATTTTGTCTCTAGTTTTAGTGATTAAAGTTATGCCGCGACTTACAGAAACATCCTGTATAATCGTAAAACGTAACGAGTGACCAAGTGGCTTCTGTGCTTGTGACAGCTGTCATCAGTGTTCTGTGATAAAAATGGACAGGCACCACACAATTTTCAATAGTTTGAGCTTGTCTATTGTGAGAAGTCTTATACTTTTAGAGAACAAAATAATATTATTCATTTGTCGCTTAGTCAAGTGTTGCATAACGCGGTCCAATTGTCGAAACAACATTGGCAAACTCCCGTAAGGTTTGTAGACATGGTATGTGAAAGACCGCTGAAACAACGATGTTCTATATTTAGGTGGTATGATGGTAAGACAAAACTTGGTTGGATATCTTCTGTCATCTTAAATACAATTTTGTCATAGAGATATCGTGTGGTCCGTGATGTGACGACTTTATGAAACAGTAATAAAGTAAGCAGTTCGCGTCTAGAACTTATTTTCAACCAGTTCGTATCCTTCAGCCTGTGCGATACTCGGTCATACTTTCTGAGTTCATAGATGTAACGGAGGCAGCAGTTTTGTATTTTCTGCATGCGATAAGACGTATCCATGTCGACCAGCATGGTAAATTGCTGCCATATAAATTACGTAAGTATCACATAATTGTTTGTTGATATTATATGACAGATATGCCCTATGAGGATATAGCCTCCATAGATAGAAATACGATTTCTTTATATAATCATTGATCTGCCTACGATATCTAAAGCTATTATCAAGTCTTAGACCCAAGCACTTCACACTATCCACGCGCTGCAAAGGTGTATCTCATAATTTTAAATGTCCAGTCCCAATAACCTCAGTATGCGACAACGTAATGTATGATCAATGGTGTCGAATGCCTTACAGAAATCCAAGAGTACCACCGCTGTTAGCATACCTAAACCATCCCAAAGCATTATCAGCTGCACCCAAAACATCATCAGTGAATCTTAGCATAGCTGTGCAACTATGATCTGAACGAAAACTGAATTGCTGAACTGGTAACAAGTTGTTCTGTTCAATATAAGGGATTAATTGATTTTTCATTATTTTTTCTAAGATCTTAGACACAGTTGGCAAAATATTGATCGCACGCAAGTCCCCATAACCAACTGGATTGTTTCTCTTTGGTAATGAAAGTATAACAGCCCGTTTCCACTAATCAGGAAAAATATTTTCAACCAAACAAGAATTCAATATGTGCGTCAAATACTAAACTAATGCCAACCGAGTCAGTTCCCATCGATGAATAGCTTATCACCGAAATAATCTCCATAATCTCAGACGTGGTAACCGTTCGAAATGAAAAGACATTAGAAGTGAAGGCTGGAAACTCTTTATAGCAGTCATCAGCCTCGCCCAACGCAATATCGTCAAGGAAATCTTGAACACTTTGCAAAGAAACTATTTATGCTATCAGGATTCTGCAACTGTATGGGTAATTGGCTACTATTATGATTCATTGATTTAATTTGCAAATGTTTTAAACCTTCCCATCTCTGCTTATAATCAGGTTTATTCGAAATGTGTTTGGAATAGCTCTTTTCATTTTTAATAGCATTAGTAGTGAAGTACCACAAGTCTTTGTAATAGTTTCAATGTGAAACATTACCTGTCGCTTCTGAATTTCGATTTTGTACTCTCTTAGAATATTTTGTCTATTAGCCGCATCATAAACTTAATATTATCCATATAGCTATTAGATTCTCCAGGTTCATCTTTGATATATAGATAAAGGAATATAGATGTAAAGATGAAAAAATTTTTTATTAACTATTCAGGATCTGTGCTACATATGTTTCGACTCACCGCAGAGTCGTCATCAGGCACGACTAAAATAATATATAAAGTAAATAATATACATAAAAAAATATTAAATTAATTACCGTCAAATGGGTTCACAAGTGAAGGTTGTAGAATAATGACCTCATTATAAATATCAATGTTTAAACAGTGTTTTCTCGTGTACAAACAATACAACCAAATGTTATGGTACTTTAAAACAACGGAAAAATCCTCGAATAATCAGATACAATCACAAGTTAATTTGTTACACATTAAAAATTAAAACGAATACGATATAAAACCGGATTAGGCGAGAGTTATAACCTCAAATGTCAAAGTGTATGGCAGGAATATGGTCACGTGAACGAAATAGAGTGGCAGAATCAGATTAAAAATCACTGCATCAGTTTCAGAAATATTCTGTTGTTATTGATGTCAGTTATATCGTTTAATAATAGCTCTGGGAAATTCTTTTTGTTCAGCGTTATATAGTATTCCTCATATAGGTCTAACAATTTTGATTTTTTAAGATTTTTAATAATATTTATGTATATCCATTTTATTAGGTTTATGTTTATATTCTTCAAGGTGTTTATGAAAGGCGGAGGTGTTTCTTGTAATATGCTCTTTGTATCTTGTAGTAATATTTCTTCCTGTTTGTCCTATATAAAATTTCTCGCAGTCGTTACATTTTAATCTATAAATACCACTCATTTCGTTCTTTTCAAATTTGTGTTTGTTATTTATAAGCATTTGACTCATGTTATTGTCGTTTGTGAAGGCGACATTAATGTTATGCTTGAATAGGATTTCTTTAAATTTGTATTGTAGACTAGGTTGATAAGGTAATTTTAAATAAGTTAGTTTTTGTTTACATCTAGGGAAAATTAGGTTGTTTATATTACTTCTATGGAAACTATTGTAGAGAGTCTGAATATCTTTTATATTAAATCCATTTTTAAGTCCAATTTCTGTTATCAGAATCAATTCATTGGTGAAGTCTCTATTGCTAAGTGGAATGTGTGTAGCTCTATGGAAGAAGAATCGAAATGCTGCAGTTTTATGGCTTATGCAATTGAAAGACTTTTTGGGTATCACACAGTCGGTGTCTTCTTAATGATGTGCATAGTGTCGTTTACTGGTATGTTGGTATATAAATTCTTTATGTCCAACGAAATAAGCCTTGATTTATTATTGATAGTGACATCCTTAAGTTTGTGTATTAGTTGTATGGAGTTTTTTATATTATATTTTATTGTAGAAGTAAAGTTATTATGGAGAAATCTTTGAATGTTTTTAGAGATCTTTTCAGATGGAGTATTAGCATTACTCACAATGGGCCTAATGCTATGGTCTATTTTATGCAATTTTATGAGACATTTTAAACAAGGTGTTAGAGGGTTCATTTGGACTGAGTTATAAGTATTTATGCTAAACTTCTCCAGGTTTATCTTATTTTTATTTATTAAGATTTTAAGTTTCTTATGATATTGCAAGGTGGGGTCCTTATTAATGTGTTGTATGTTATTTTGTTTCAAAAATTCTATAGTTTTGTCAATGTATGTCAATCTATCGAGTATGACTAGCCCTGCATTCTTGTCGCCTGGCGTTACAATCTGGGATCTTGTGAACCCATTTGACGGTAATTAATTTAATATTTTTTTATTTATATTATTTACTTTATATATTATTTTAGTCGTGCCTGATGACGACTCTGCGGTGAGTAAAAAAAATTTTCATCTTTACATCTATATTCCTTTATTTAATATTATCCGTTAATCAAGGAGTTAGAATAGAGACGAAACACAAACTAAATACTAATAACTAAATCCGTAATCCCTACTGAATTAAGAAAAAAGAAAATGTAATGCCAGCTACTTTATGCAACTCCTACTTGATTTCTTTAAACTTGTTGTTTTTTTATATGTAACTATTGAGCGATTTATTTAAATTATTTCAAATCACACTGTAATACTAATTTTCTATTATCTTATTATGTTTTACAAAAACCTCATAATTCAATACTGTTGTACACTTTTGTCTATCACTGTATATAATTTTTTTGATCATGATCTAAACATGAAGCTGTTTAAAATAAGCAAATCATTGAATAAAAATACTTAATATAAATTAGACTTGTTTATTTTTAAAATCACTAAATAAAAATACGTTCTAACTAAAATTCACTGGCGGTCTAACCTTGTCTTTGGGCCAATTTGGCTCAATAAACAAGTTTATTTACTTCCTACGAAGAAAAAAAATTATTTATAAAAGAAATTTAGATTTCTTTTTAAACAAATACACATCCGAGTTCAAAAAGAATTCGTATATCAAAAATAACGAAATGTTTTCGAATTTCAACATAAAGAAAGTGGCATAACATGAATAAATAGCAACGATAGATGCCGAAAATTGTCACCTGGCATTTCTTGGACCGCACTCAATAACCGCAAGTCTACATTGAAATGGCGAGCACGAACTTGTCGTTGGTCTATATTAATGGCCTAACAATCGAACCATAATTGTACCACGATAATAGCCTCTATGGCTATTAACCAACAAACGTTTTTTTTTTTTTAATAACAATTCAACCTTAGCAGAACGGCCATGGTGGTTAAATAATATTAAAATTAACGATCTCTTCTATTGTATTAAAATTAATACTTATTTTATAAATAATTATTAATTGTTGTAAGTTGTAAGCAAATAAATTATTAAAATGATAATTAAATAATTAAATCTTTCGAAAACGTTCCAAAAAAATGTTTGTACCAACCTTATTAAAAAGATCGCCCCAAATTCTATCTTCGAATCCTCTTCTTCTTGAATACACTCTTTTCACCCTTTCAAACCAAAAAACAAAACGACTCCCCCTATTTGTGACTAGTTCGAGGTTCGTACTGCGGCACTGAAGTGTGTTCCGCGCAAAATTTGACTGCAAAATAGAACGGCGCTGGCGCCGTGACGACGTCGTCGACGTCGACGCCGACGATCACCAGCAAACGAATCAAACTTTTCCGGGGGAGAAACAAACGTACTAACCCCCTCGGCGACCAAAATAACAACGTACATGATAGTGCTGAAAACAGAAAGGAAAACGAGGATATTTCAGGTTCTATTTATAGATTAAAAGATATTTTTTATAAGCAACCATTTATTTATTTTTAAAAATTAATTCATTTTATTGATTTATAATTAATTTTTTAACGAATTGCTATGTATTCATTGATGGTGTCAGCCACTAATTCGTTCTCTAATAAAGTTAAATGGTTTCCATTTAAAATTGATATATTTACGGCCTTTTCAACATACTGAAAATTAATTAAAACAATAATTATTAATAATGTATATTATAATGATTATTTTAAATGTTTAAACAAATTATGAAATGAGTTTGAAAGAGAAATAACCACCTATGGTGTGCAATCTTACTACTATAAAAATTTAGACCGAGATTTAGTACCCTCACAATCCACTGGATGACGTTGTAAACTGAATTTGCAGCAATCTGCATTATCTACACAAATAAATCGTTGACAAAGCATTTGTAACCATAGACAAATTTATGTATAATGTCAAACTCAGAGGTAAAAGCAAACGTCACATTTTTGTTTTGTCGTTTAGTGTGATAATTTTGTCGTTGTATAAGCAAATATTCTTATTTACGTTCTTTTGGCTTAGTGTTTTATATCCTTTAGTTAAGTATTTAAATAAGTTAGGGCCACTTTCATCACCTCTTGATAAGTTTATCCAATAGATAAATTGGCGCTTTTTGCCAATGAGACGATATACGTTAAAAATTATGAATATTATCTTGGAAAAACTTTAAATTCATATTTATTTGGAAAATGCACTTGACCTCTTCAAAATAAAGTAATGGTATAAACCGGTATAGAAATACCTATATTTAAATTTCGCGCTTTAACCTAATTAGTTCCCTCACAATTCCCTTGGGACCGCATATACATAATATACAGGGTGAGTCAGAAAGAATGGGAAATCCGAATACCTGAAATTCTAGACGCCAAAATATGATGATTTAACCTAACATCTCTTATACAAATATCACTGGTTTTCGAGGCACAGGGTGTTGAAATTTAAATTCTTATTTCGAAACTTTATAAAACTTTATAATTTTGAAGCTTTACTACAAAAAGCTTCAAAATTATATTAACATAAAATTGGGTAGTTTTATGTTTTCGAGCATGAGAAATACGAATTTGAAACTTGTTTTGTTATTGCTCGTAGAGGGCGCTATATACACACTGCTCGTTTGATAAATGAAATCATAAGTTTTTTGGCTGTCGAGCTACGACCAATATGAGCTACAACTCACAAAGAGCATTCAATTTTACATAAAAAAGGTACTCTTATTTAAATTGTATAAGTCTATCGGTTTTCGAATTATTTACTTTTAAATCTTTAAATGTGTTTTTTCTTCTAAAATTTTTATTTTCTAACATAAGCAAAGTTGGCTTATTTTTCCGCTCATGTTTCGACAATTGCTTGTTAATTGTCAACATTGATCTAATTTCCGTGTGCAATAATCATTTTTACCAACAATAAAGTTATTACCAATTTGAAAATTCCACGACATAATGAGTTTTCTAATAGTGAGAAATCCAGATTTAAATCCACTGGATTTTTGAATATGGTTACAATATTCTATTGTTATTAATTAATTGTTATTGTTATCGATTATTATCGTTACTAATTGCTATAGTTACTGTGTGTTATTGATTTTAAATGTTAACCTTAAAATTACTTTGAAACAATTCAAAGCAGATAACTTGGAAACCAGTAGACAATGTAAGCAAGACTACCTTTTTTGTGTAAAATTGAAAGCTCCTTCAGATTTCTGATTCTAATTCACCATACCTCAACTGACAAAATAGTCATGACTTGATATCTCAAATGTGCAGTGTGTATCTAGCGCCCTCTACGAGTAATCATAAAACAAATTTCAAATTCGCATTTCTCATGCTCGAAAACAAATAACTACAAAATTTTATGTTAATAGTAGAAAAAGCTTCAAAATTATTAAGAAATTTCAAAATAAGAATTTAACTTTCAACACCCTTGAAAACCACCGACATTTGTATAAGAGATGTTAGGTTAAATCGTCATATTTTGGTGTGTAGTGTCTCCGGTATTCGGATTTCCCATTCTTTCTGACTCACCCTGTATATAAATTTTTCTATGACATAACCTAAAAGTATAAATTTGACATAATTGTATCAAACCTAACCTTAAAAACTTGAGAGATGTCAAATTAAATTCGTAAAGTCTTTCTATTTATGAACGTATTCAATTAAAAGCTATTTAGAATATACGTCAACAGAGAAGATGGCTGGGAGCTTAGCAAAACATAGAAAACACACCGGATGCAACGCAATTAGTTAATAATTAAGCGTTAATTAATTATTAATCAGTTATATATTGTACCCGATTTTCGATTTCGTCACTTCGAACCAGTGTCTGAAGAAGGTTGCAATATGGCATCCGAAACGTCAAACCTTTTCTTAAAAGACGCACGGCAAAACCCGAAAGTTTCTAGTGTTAGTTCCAGCTTTAGTTGTAATTTTTTGTTCAACATCTATTGTTGTTTTGTACCCACTACGGGTTGGTTGCCCGCACTTTACGTCACACAATTTTCCACGCCCAGTTAACTGTCATTGAGTTCTATGCGTTAGCTGTGTGTTTTTAGAGATTATATGATAAACATTTGATTTACTTTTGAAATTAATATGAATACGTCTACGATATACGATATAACCTCTAAAAATACACAGCAAACACATAGAACACAATATCAGCTGACTAGACGTGGCAAATGGTGTGACGTAGTGTGCGGGCACGTTGTCACAACAATGGATGTAGCAGTCCTGTTAGAACAACAATTAAAACTAGAATTAACACTAGCCGTCTTGAGAAACGTGCGACTAAACCCGAATTATTCTAGTTCTAGGTTTTGTGTTAGTTCTAGTGCTAGTGCAATACTAGAACTAACACTAGACCGAGGCCTAGAAACATTTTGCCGCACGTCTCTCATGACGGCGTTCCTTATATTCCATGTGACCATTTACAGAACTTTTCTCGACGCACGTTCTTGGCAGCGGATCCGATGGTGGATCTTCCTGTCCGGAATCCGTGTTGGTTTTCGGTCAATTCTCCAGCAGCTTCAATTGCGTCATCCAGCATGCTCCGTCACAGAGGTCGGTAGGAAGTAGGACTTGATGGATCGCCATTTTTCATTTTCTTAATCAACACAAGACGCTGCTCCTTCCATGCGTCAAAGAAAACGCCTTCCGCTAAGCAGGAGTTATACAACTTAATTAGCACTTCAAGGCGTGTAGTGGCAACCCATTTAAAGGCTTCAGCAGGAATACCATTCGGTCCTGAGGCTTTTCCATTTTTCATTGTAGCACCGGCCTTCCTGAGCTCATCATCTAAAAATGCACTTGCTGAACACTTGTTCTGGTCGGCTCGGGAAAAGCGCGTCTACGATGATTGTCATCGTTGCGTCATCAAGATCTGGAGGTGTAGTCGTTTTGCCACGTTTTCTTAATGCCTTTTCCCACTTTTGCTGTTTACTTTTAAAGATGGTGGTCTTTAGGAGTTTTTTGGGTATTTTTAGCTTCTCCGATTCGCGTATGACGTTCTGAGGGTCTCTGCGCCTCTGTCTCGTTAATCTCCGTGTTTTCTGGTGGTAGTTTTTGGGCAGCCCAGCGATCTCCGCGGTCCACCAATACGCTGCTGTCTTTTTAGGCATCGAAGATTCGCAAGCATTTTTTAAAAGCTCCATGGTTTTGACCACTAGGTCCTCCGCGGAGCTGTTTGATTGATGAACGGAGTGAGAGTCTGCGTACACCACAGCAGAAAAGGCAGCACCGTCCGGTCTCTCTGCATTCTACCTTAGGCCCCTTATTTTCCTTTTTGTTGCGGGCGGTCGACGATTACCGACTGAGAAGCTTATGTATTGGTGGTCGCTTCCTATGTACTTTTCGAGCACCTTCCAATCGTGAAGTTCCAAGTTTTCTGAAGCAAAGGTGAGATGTGGGATCATTTCTCCGTATTCTACCCTCCGGAATGTAGACACGCTGCCCGTGTTGATTATGACTAGCCCGACACGCTCCAGTTTGCGTTGGAACTCCAGAACTGTTTCGTTAAGTGTCAAGAAACAGCTCACGTATGTGACGCCGTTCACCTGAGGCCAGACGTTGTCTCTTTCCATGACTCTGCATCATTGTGTTCCGGGCATGTGGTAGCCTAATGGCTGCCGTACCTAAATCGTCAGTGAACCAGCCCATTTCGTCTCTGTTGTTATACAGTTCGCTGATTATTAGGAAATCGGCCATGATTTCATGCTGGAATTCGTCTGGTATTCGCTGAAAACGCCAATCCACTTCGGTGCATGTTTGTCTGGATTACTGTAAACGTTGTTGTTTAGTCTTCTTAGCAACGTTGAAAGCCGCCCTGAAGTTTTCGCAGATGCCAGAGCCCGGGGCGTGATTTGTCGGCCCGCTAGCGGCCTCGCACACCTTGCCGCGTTTTTGCAATCGGTTCTCGCATGGCTTACGAGGTCTTCTATTAGTTCTAGTGATAGTGCTAGTGGCTACAGTCTACGTCTAGTGTTAGTGATAGTGCTATAGTCTAGGTCTAGTGTTAGTTCTAGTTTTACACTAGCACTATCACTAGAGCTAACACAAGACCTAGAACTAGAATCATTGCCGTTTAGCCGTCTTGAGAGACGTGCGGCTACATCCGAATGATTCTAGTTGTAGGTCTAGTGTTAGTTCTAGTTTTACACTAGCACTATCACTAGAGCTAACACAAGACCTAGAACTAGAATCATTCCCGTTTAGCCGTCTTGAGAGACGTGCGGCTACATCCGAATGATTCTAGTTCTAGGTCTTGTGTTAGTTCTAGTGATAGTTCTAGTTTTAGTGCAATAAAAATATACAACATGGTGATATCTTATGCTAACTAGCGCTACCTACCACTGTCACTAGAACTAACATTAGACCTAGAACTAGAATCATTCGGGTTTACCCGTCTTGAGAGACGTGCTGTTAAATCCGAATGTTTCTAGTTCTCTGTTTAGTGTTAGTTCTAGTATTGCACTAGTACTATCCCGAAGGATTCTAGTTCTAGGTCTTGTATTAGTTCTAGTGATAGTGCTAGTGCAATAGTAGAACTAACATCAGTCTCATTGTAATTTTTGGTCATGGTCTGGACTGTTGCTCGGCTTAGATTTACAATCTTGAGCAATTTCGCCGTAAAATTTCTTTTCTTTTCGATGTTTATCACCAATTTCAACAGAAATTTCTTTTCGCGATGACATCATGCAACCAGTTAGAATAGTGACGAAACACAAACTAAATACTAATAAGTAAATCCATAATCCCTACTGAATTAAGAAAAAAGAAAATGCAATGCTAGCTACTTTATGCAACTCTTACTTGATTTCTTTAACTCAAGTGCATTTTAGACTTTTGTCGTGTTAGTTTTTGCATTGTTTGTTGAATTTATTTATAAAAGCCGATAGTCTAGTTCTAGGTCTAGTGTTAGTTCTAGTTTTAGTTCAATAAAAATATGGAACATAGTGATAGCTTATGTTAACTAGCGCTCGCTACTCACTAGAACTAACATTAGACCTACAACCAAAAACATTCAGATATGTTGCATTTTATGTGGGACACGGTAAGTACACTGTGTTAATTAATTATCGTACCTGACGTCCAAGGTCTATAGAACATAAGGTTACCTAATTCCCTATGCCTCTGTAGTATCGATTATTACTCCGTAGATTGACGTCACTGGTTCTATACAGTCACAGTAAAGTGTTGAGTAAAAGATATCTGTGTCTATATAAAATATTTAAACCTCGCATCGTGTTGTGTTGTTCATAGAACCAGCTACGTCACTGACCCACCTTGCCTCTCATAGGAGGAGAATCGGCATTGGGTAACCTTATGTTCTATAGACCGTGCCTGACGTCATCATTGCAAGTATGCAACCAAATACGCAAATCGCATTATTGCAATACTAATACTGTGATATTGGATGCATACTTGCAATGATAATGTCGGGTACGATAATTAATTATTGTAGGTACGCCCTGGTTTCTACTGAAATATATTTTTATATATTGCATTTTAAGTGAAATTCACTGTATTGACGATTTTATGTTTTCTACATTAATGGCGCAAAATCAATGAATATTATTAATTAAAATGTAAATTTCTTCTAGCATATACGAAGTATATACGATTAATTAAAAAATATTTTTAGTAATATCAAATCTATTTGACATAATTGTACTAAACACCTTAAATCTTCGTATATGCTTCGAAAATAATTATGTTTTAAATTAAGAAAGCGTTTTACCTTTGTCAATCCACACTTATCATTTTTATTAGATCCCGTTGGTCGAATCAAATAAACGCCACCCTTAAACAAATTTTCGCTCGGTAAATATCCCAACGCCATTTTAATCCTCTCCAAAAGCAGTATCAAACTTTTCCTAATATTCTCTTTATTCCCCCCTGAATAATTCTGCATCGCCAAATTAATTCGTTCCGTCAAATTCGATGTGTTATTCATCGTTTTTAAGATATCCGCTGAAGTGACGTTTAGTAATCTCGAGATAACGTTTAATTGGAGATTAGCGATATCTCCTAAGTGGTTAAAAACATCCTTAATGATATCCGGGGTACCATCAACGAAGGTGATTTGGGTGTTTTTGTGTTGTTCGAGAATTTTAGAAATTTCCAGTGCTAATATTCCACCCCAAGATACTCCAACTATATTGTATGGACCCCTTGGGTATATTTGTTGTATTTCTTTTGCAAGGATTTTGGCCATTTCTTCTAAGGGTAGATGGGAGTTGGAGAAATTCGCGATGAATGTTGGATGTAGGAGTGGGAAGCACATTTTTGAAAGGATTTCGGGGTTAAATAATCCGGGGATAACAAATATTGGGGGAACCTCGCGGATTTTACACGGCCCTAATGTTTGGACTTGAGTGAATGTTGGCTTATCCGGTGACTCTAAATAGATTTGTTCTAATTCTTGGGATGATGATGGAAGCATTTGGACAAGTTCTTAAAAATAAATAAATTATTAAAGAAATTTTAACATAAAAACGACTTACTTATGTATAAAGCTTGAACTGTCTCTTGAGGTATATCCCCCACAATTTCAGTTCTAACAATAACATCTTTCGTTTTTAACCCAAGAATTTCATCTAACCCATATAAAACGAAAGCGAAATCTAAAGAAGTCACCCAATCGATGTTGTAAGCATTAAAAGAATCTTGCAATCTATTTTGTGTAATCCCCGAAGCGTTTGTAACCATATTTACAAAAATAGCTTTTGGTGCGATATTTCTCAAAGCCATATCAACGTATTGAATCGATTTTAAATCGCTGAATTTATTCGACGATATTGGCAAAACAAAAACGGCTTGAATCGGCCCCATATCGTTAATTTCGGTTAAAACTTCCGCTGCGTTTTCTTTCGTTTGTATTTTTTTCGAAGTAAAAATAATTTCCGCGCCGAAATAACCTCTCAAAAGAACTAATCGGCGATTAACGTGGTTTTGAAGGGGTTTTGAATCGGAACAAACCGCTATTTTACGAGCTCCACGAAAAACTAACCATTCAACCATATCCGTCCATGATTCTGAGGAGCCACCATAAATCAAATAAGAACAACGGGGGTTACAAATAAATTGATTCGGTTTTGAAATGTTTAAGTAATTTACAGCCGTTTCAGGAGTGATTCTAATGATTGTTTTTCCAATATTTTCGTATTTAATTAAAGAACTAAAAAAGATTTTTGTTTTAAAATAAAGTTATGAATTAATTTTTTAAATTTACTCTAAAATGCTTCTAATATCGTGATGAGTAACGATTTCCCGTCGAATTGGTTTGATGATCCCTTCATCGATTCCGCCTTGAATCAACTTTTTTAATTCCTCCTTTTCTTCTAGGGAAGCCTCAAAAATATCTTCAGGAACAACAGTTCCAAACGACGTATTTTTTAAAAACACACTCATTCCAATCGTGCTGTTTTCGGTGATATCAAATTTTCCTAATTGAATGAATCTTCCATAATCAGCTACACATCTTACGGAAGCTTTCAAAAGGCTTTTTGATAATGTATTCAGGATGAGATGGGCTCCTTCGCCGCCGGTTGCCATTAAAAGATTCGCCTCGAAACTGGAGTCTTTGCTTGAAAGGATGTTGCGGTCTTTTAGTTGAGGGAAGCGCTTTTTCAAGTAGAAACGTTGCTCGGAAGTTGCGACGGTTGTGAAAACTTTACAGGATTTGTTTAAGGCAAGACAAATCGAAGCGAGACCGATTGATGAGGTTCCGTTGTGAATTAAAACAGTTTCGCCGGGTTCTAAGTACCCTTTTGTAATTAAACAATAATATGCCTAAAAAAATAATTAATAAATTTTTAATTAAATATACAGTAAAATCTCGATATAACGGATTAATACGAGGAAAGGAAAAATTCCATGTTAATTGTTGCTAATTTCTCGAAACAACTTCTGCTGCATGAGTACAAAACGGAAGCTAATCTAAACAATCGTCTTGGATTATATATGTTGGAGGCAGATGACGAATTCGGCCCGTGGCCGATTTATTTAGACATATCGGCATATCTCTAAAGCTGTTAGGTCACATGACGAAAAAATGATACAATCGGGATCTGATCATATCAGTTTGAACACGTCCTGATATGTGCATTTGCACAATGCGCCGCATATAAGGATAAATAACTAAATTACGACGACAAAAATAGATATAAGTTTTATCTTTCAACTAATCACAAAAAATATCTTCAAAATGTTCATTATAATCTAATCAGACATGAACCGTAATAGTTATTTTTGATACAAGATAGCGAAATGACACTTTTGCATTCGAGAATGCAAAAGAATTTCGCTGTCATGTATCAAACAACATCTTTTCGAAAACTGCGTATTCTAAAGTTATAAATTAATAAAAAGCCCAAATTCTGTATAATGACACTTAGAATTCATTTAATGTTATGTCAAAAACTTAACGTCACATCGATTTAACCTCACATATTGAACAAATGTACTATTATAAATTTGCATTTAAACGTGAAATGGAATGATAAAACAATTAAATGTTGATTATTTTGTGTTTATAATTTGTTCATAACAATAAATTAACAATTAATAGTATCAAATTCTTTGATTGTCGTAGCTGGACGTAAAAGTCTTTTACGTCCTGGACGTAAAAGACTTTTTTGTAATTCGCTACGGTAATGGAAGCTATAACAGTACTCAAACGGGTGCTGTAATGATTGGTGATGTAATGAGATTTTAGTAACCTTTTATGGAACCAGTTCAAGTTGGTGACATTGGGTCATTAATTTTTCTAGTTTGTCTATGGATGTTTAAACACGTTCTTAGCATCGAATACAAAGTCCACAATGATGAGGACATTGACTCTGAGCAATTTCTCTTATTTTGGGAGGTGTACATCAAACATTTTTTTCAGGTGAATATATATATAGTATCTATTTTCAAGTGTTCCGGTGTTACCAACTGCTACATACCTATTTCCCTACATTGCCAAAATTTACTTTATTTTTGTTAAAATAAAGTATAAAAACGCGAATTACAAAAAATAGCATAAAAAACACGTTTCATAAGACTTAAAGCACTCATTCATTAAAAAACTCGTGGCTTCGCCACTCGTTTTTCAACTTGAATTCGTGTATTTCAAGCGTGTCTTACGAAACTTGTTTTTTAATATACTATTACGTCCTGTTGACAAAAAACTATCGTTTTGACGGTCGCTAAGTACTACGCAAAAATCAACTTTTAATAGCAGTTTTCGAAAAAATTTTTTTTTGTTAACGTAACAGAATAGCCTAACCGTGTGCGCAAAGTTGGCTTATCTTTTGCACGGGGAATACACTTAGTTACGCGTGAATTGTTGACAGAGTAATTACGTTCGTAATATTTTCCTAAATTTAAAATCGTTAGTTTTTCAATATGGATATTGAAGCGTCAGGTATGTACTTTAATCTGCCACTACTGTCAACTTAACAGTTGTTCGTAGTTTAGATATGATGCACATTATATAACATTTATTATTTTCTTCAAAAAATTTTGAAATGTCAACTTTAACTAGAGTTATATAAAAAGTTCCAAAAAGTACACCAATTTTTTTTTACTAGTTCAAAAAAATATCTTATAAATAACATCAAAAAATAAAATAGAAGTCCCGTTGTTTCCCCCTTCGTTAAATAAAGGGTATTTTTCAGGTTGTGGCGACCCCGCTTTAATGAAAATAAAGATTAAGAGAAAAGAACTGTTTATAGTGTTAAAAAATAAACAGTTTTATAAGTTATCGTCATTAAAGTGTAATGAACAATTATTACAGTATACAGGTGTCTCACGTAACTGGTTCGTTAAAACTTTTTCAGGTCCCACTATTCGTAGAGATTTGAAATTTTGGTAGCATGGGTTGCTCATTCGGAACTTTCGATCTAAAATATTTTCAAGAGGGCCGCCACTTCCGGTCTACCGGAAGTAGGCCATAACTTCGCTATTTTAAATGGAATGCTATACTTTTTATTACACCGTTTAATCGTATGTAAAAAAATAGGTTGACTTTGATAAAAGTTATTGGTAGCTAGCGTTATTCGTTTTCGAGTTATTTTGGTTTTAAGCTTTTTTTGGAAAATTTCAACATGCTCTTTAAAACTCCATATCTCAGCCAATGTTCATTCAAAAAATATCTACGTTGGCACGATTACTCTTCAGATGTTGTCAAATAGATTGTCATTTGTTGTATCGGAGTATCTTATACAGAGTGGTCAAAAATTGAATTACTGTTTCTCCATATTCAATGCTGAGAAAGTCGAAAATTTTAAATGGAACGCCCCATATTTTTTTAGCCTATCAGAAAGAGAATTTAATTCTCTACAAATTATCTATAAACATTCCCATACCTATTTATTGTAGTTTGCCTCATATTGCGAAATTTATTAAAACATGCACGAAATGCAGGTTTTCTTATTAGAAAGCTATGGAATTTTGACAGTTTTTGGTCCATGTTTGTATTATTGTTGTCATTTGAGTCATCAGTTACATTTGACGACGGGTGTAAGTCATTGAACATCATGATAAATTATTTCAACGCCGATATTTGAAATTTATTTTGTATTGATGGCGAATGTAATAAACTTTTGGACAGGACGTGTCGAACACTAATGAGAGATGCCTAACAGACCAAATTTATGCAAATCTAATTTTTGTCATTAACTTTTTGTTTTAATAGTTTCATTTATTTGATCTTCTGTTTATTATTTTTGGTAAGTAAAAGCTAGTAAACTAAAAGATTATCAATCGTAGTTAATAGTACAAATAATAATATAAATAAATTAAACAAAAAACTGTCAAAATGTCATGGCCTTCTAATAAAAATACAAACGGTTGCCTGCATTTCCTGCATGTTTTGATAAATTTACGAATATGAGAGAAACTACAATAGATAGGTATAGTAATGTTTATAGATAAATTGTAGAGAATTAAATTTCCTTTCATCTAGGCTAATAAAATATGGGGCCTTCTATTTAAAATTTTCGACTTTCTCCTCATTAAATACGGAGAAACGGTAATTCAATTTTTGACCACCCTGTATAAGATACTCTGATACAATATATGACAATCTATTTGAGAGCATCTGAAGAGTAATCATACCAATTTAGGGCTTATTTGAATGAACGTTGGCTGAGATATGGAGTTTTAAAGAGCATGTTGAAATTTTCCAAAAAAAGCTTAAAACCAAAATAACTCGAAAACGAAAAACGCTAGGTACCAATAACTTTTATGAAAGTCAACATATTTTTTTACGTACAATTAAAAGGTGTAATAAAAACTAGAGCATTCCATTTAAAATAACGAAGTTATGGTCTACTTCCGGTAGACCGGAAGTAGCCATCTTGAAAATATTTTAGATCGAAAGTTTCGACTGAACAATCCATACTACCAAATTTCAAAACTGTACGAATACTCGAACCTAAAAAAGTTCTAACGAACCAGTTACGTGAGACACCCTGTATATTGGACAAGTTTAGCATTGAACTTGCTGAAAATTGTACAAAACAAATAAAACTTGTGGTCAAAGTGTTTGTTACGAAGGTTTTGACGAAATGGCGAGGTTGTAATTATATGTACGAGCGTTTTAACAACAAGCATATGAAATGGCTTAATGAAGACTTGAAACTCCCGGAAATACAGCCACCACAGCTTCCAGCAACAGCACCAAAGAGGCGAGGCAGGCCAAGAAAATTATTCGAAGAGAGCTCTCAACGCAGTAAGCAACGACATGTTGAACCAATTGTATCAAATCTCTGTTCAGAAACACTGTGCTTGGCTGCAGAATCAAGCTTGGTGAAGTCAGGTAAAAGAACAGATTGCGGCCCAGGTTGTGAAATTAGCAATACAATCTTCGCCCAACACGTTAAAAGAAATGAAAAAGGTGCAAGATACGTCATCCTTTGCTAATATAAGACCGTACAGCCCTGACGAAGCTTTAGCTCTTATAGTGGATCTTATAGTGGACAAAAGAGGATTACATAACGATGCGACTTGGAGCAAAAGAAAGAGGGGCTGATATTTATCCCTCATATCGGAGGGAGTGTTATCCAACAAATATTATGATAACTGAGAATGAGGCTGTGGTACCAGTGATAGATCTTCTTATACATACTACGGAACGTTTAGCACAAGTGCAGGCTGATGTAATACTTCAAAATATTTCGGAGGACTGTGATACTATCGAAGTTTATTATAAATGAGGCTTAGGTGGCAGCGGTGGACACAGTATTTACAAACAAAATTTCGCCAATAATTCGGAATATGCGGATTCCAACATCATTTTGTGTACGATCGTGCCACTACAAATGTGTGAATCTAATGGCAGTAACAAAAAAATATATTGGAAGAATACNATAAATGGAGCTTAGATGGCAGCGGTGGACACAGTATTTACAAACAAAATTTCGCCAATAATTCGGAATATGCGGATTCCAACATCATTTTGTGTACGATCGTGCCACTACAAATGTGTGAATCTAATGGCAGTAACAAAAAAATATATTGGAAGAATACAACACCATCATCGACAAGGTATTGCCGTCCAATTGGATTTAAAATAAAGAAAGAAACTGTCCAAAATGTAAAAGAAGAATATAACGAAGTACAAACACAAATATTGAAATTCGAGCCCACGATAATCGTTCTAGGAACTAAGCAAATAAAATTTATACATATTCCCATATGTACGATGCTAGATGGAAAGACAGTCAACATTTTGACTGATGCTTCAAGTTCACAAGCGTGCAATGTGTGTAAGGGGTACTCCTAAAGATTTAAATGATCTAGAG